AAACATTTAAAGAATTTTGCCTAAAGAATACCCATTTTAAAGACGACATTAATATTATAAAAAAAATAAGAAACACCAAAGTTGTTGATTTAAAGACTGTGAATGGGTTTTAAGATCTATTGTCATATAAAAATATGATTAATAGGAACGATGAACTGTTAAATTTACTCTCTATATCATGTCTATATTCCCTACAAGTGTTATATCCGAATAAACATTTTCTATTGCAAAATATACTTGGAAACCCAATATAAAACAAGACACTTTTAATATGCGTGTTGTTTTGAAGCAACTTAAAAACGTCTTTAATTGAAAAAAACAGTATATTATTGTTTTTGATTTAAACCATTAAACAAGATTTTGTATATATTTTACTATTAAAATGTCACAATTTAACTATTTATACAATTAATTCTATTTTGAATTAATAAAGGCTTAATATCATTTTAAAAATAGATATTTTTATGTAAGGAGAGCTTACTCAATTGGGTCATTTGAGTAAGCAGAATAATTTATTTTTAGAAAAATAAAAATTCTTTCAATTAAAATATTTCATTATTGTTTCACGTTTTTTGTGATATAACAACAAAGTAACAAAAAACTTTATAAGTTTTAAGCTCTTAATTTGTGGAATGTTAAAGTTTTACAATCATCATACGGAAAATAAACACATTTCAAAGTGTCAGTTGAACTATTCAACAAGACATTTGATGATGATAATCAATTAAATAAATCTTCGAATTCTGCTTTGTTAAAACATGAAAAATTTATTGTCACCATATTTGTCGATAAAATTCATGCTTTCCTCACTTTCGACAATTTCCTTTTCAATTTCACCATTATTATTGAAATTATATTTTATTCCATGAAATCAGCACAACCTCATTTTGTCGAAAATGTTCACTAAATCAGTTTTTGTTGGGGTTTTGACTGGAATTTACTAATTAAAAATTGACTCATTCCAGTTGAAACAATAGTGTTTTCATTAACTTCCATTTTTAAATCACCATTACCATCAACTAAATCAAATAATAATTGTGTATTTGAATTGTAATAAGATTCGAGACCAACAACTTATTTTTGTTCGTTGTAAGATTGGGTTGTTTGTCTTTGAACTTTGTTTATTTTTGGCCTTCCCACTTTCTTTGTTTTGTTTCAGTGTTAACCAAAATTGAGTTGCGTCTAAGTGTTGGCTTCTTCGATGTTTAATTGTCAATAATTGTGTGTTTGGTTTCTTTTGTTTTGTGATTGTTTTTATTTAAAAACAAGTCTAGTATATTTTTCTGTTCGTCAAACCATATTGGTACATTTGTTGAGGTCATCGTGTCTCTTTTTGAAATTAAAGTAATTATATAATTATTTGTTAACATTAAAACAGTAAAAGATTCAGCCTGTCAAATGACAGCTAAATTCAAAAAATCTATAATTAGTTAATTAATTGATAAAATTAGTTTTTTACTTGAAAATCCATCTTTGAGTAAGCTCTCCTAAAGTCTGTTTTCTATTTAGCGATATTCTAAAAATATAACAAAGAAAAGAACTAGACCGAAAATATTAAACCATTATTTACTATACTCAATATCGCTAATTAAAAACCATTAACTATTAATAAAATTGTCATTAATTAAAACTAATGTTAAACAAATCCTAAGCATTGACTTTTTTCCAATTCACTTGTTGTCGTTTTCAATTTGACCCAAATGATAATTTGACATGTCTACTCGATCTAATATGACATTTTATTCATTTTGAATAACCTGGTTGACATAGTTTATTTCGTCGTATTCACATTTCAAGACCAACCTATTCTCGTTTTGGCTTTAGAATTTTTTCAGTTGTTTAGCCATTTTGTTTTTGTTATTTTTAGCACACTTTTTAAAAAAAAAGAACAAAAAAATAAAATACAAACCATTTTTTAGAAAAACCACTTATTTTTATTATAAATTATAATACTGTTATTATAAATAATAGTAAAAACCTAATATCGTTAAATAGAAAACAGACTTTATAGTTTTAAGTTATTTTCGCTAAGTGTTTACCATTTTAATATAAAATTAAAAAAAATAATCTTTGAACAAAAAAAACCGCTCAAGGTGAATTATTTTGTTTTTTTGCCACGTATTTAACAAAAAACTAGAACTTGAAAGACCCTGAATTCACAGTACTATAGAGCAGGCGCATGCTTAAAAAAATAAAATTCTGTTTAAAAATGAATAATGAGGGGAATTTACGAAATGATGCTGACGTGGAAAATAAGCAACTAAAAACCTGCGCCATACTCGCACTAAGCGCCATACCTGCATTGACTTACGTGGCAATACCTTTTTACAAAAATATGGACAAAATGAGATAAAATGATTAAATAAAAAGAAAAGTTGATGAAAAAAACTTGGGAAAATTGAAATTTCATCCAAAAATTTATGAAGAAAAGAACGTATTAGAAAACTAAAATCATTTAATAGTTCGCTCAAATAATATAAAGATTTGAATTTATACAATTCATAAAACTAATTATTTCATAGAATAGTCTTTCGTTAGTTTCATTTTATATAATGTTATAATAAAAAATGTGTAAATTTGAACGTTTTTCTATTTATATAAATCAAATAAAAAACCAATTTAATAAAAGACTTGCATGCATATATTCAGGAAAAATTGTTATTATTCATATTAATTTCTTTTTGGGGGTATATTCGTTCAATTTAATAAACAAAATATATCAAAATTTGATACATTTTATTATAATAACATGATTCATTTTGAAAATAAAAACGAAAAATGTTTTAAAACATCTTATTGGAAATAAAATGTTCGAAAACAAATAGAATACAGAACTTATACTTGTATGAATAGTTTATAATAATTACACATTTTAATGAGTTATTAACGATGTACTATTATTATTAAATCAGAATTTATACAAATTGATTTTAAATTTTTTTCTTTATTTAGAATTGCATTTTTATTATAACTTAGAAAAACGATTTAAACAAAACCACATTAAGAATAAATCAATTACACCATTGAAATGTTCTTAACTTTTGAATTGATTATATATTTTAAACATAAATTATGGGTTTAATTTATTATTTAATGGTAAACATATAATATATTATAACTTAATGAACAATATTTGATAATTATTAGACTTTAAAACAAACATACAAAAATAAAACACGTTTTTAATAAAAAAGTAAATTTTATCAAAGAAAACACAAATAGTAGTCAATTACATTATATTAAACGTTGTAAAAATTGAATACAGTGTGCCAAATAAAAATTGTTTTTCATTTGACATTACAAAAGTTAGATCTTTAATTGTCTCATTTTTGTTTTTTCAAGTATTTTAAAGCTACAATGACTTGAAGCCATCAAATACTGCACGTTTAATTGATATCAAAAAGTCAGTTTTTTCATTTATTTGAACAATTTTTATATTCAGTGTTGTTGAAAATGGAAATTGTTTTTATTTGTTATGTTCTGAGTCTCTTGTTCGCTTTTTGGTTGATGTTTTTTATCATGTTTATTATTTTATTTTAATAAATTTATTAATATTCATAATAAATGAGCAATGATATTTTATTTGTTTTTTTGTAATTTCTCTCAAATATTGTGACTATTCATTATATTTTTGTTAATTAAATGATCAGCACAAAATGATGTTTTATCATGGTTTATGTTAATAATTATGTTATTGTTATTTATTATTCTTCTTATAAAACCAATTATTAAGTTGTAGTCAGTCGGGGCTAAATATTCAAGTGTTGTCATGTGTCTTGAAATTACCAATTATGTTTTGTATTTAATAACACGATAAGTTTCGGAATAATCCCGTTTATATAGCCAAAATAATTAAAATACTATTAAAAACACTTTCAGATTCTTATAAAAAGATGTGTCTTTTTAAATGACACATGTTGTTAATTTTTTTTGTTGTGGGTTATGTTTTAAGTAAAAATTTTATTCTCATTATATTACCACTTATAACATAAGTTTAAAGCTTAAGTGTCATTATAATACAATCATATGGATTGGAGTTATGATATGTCATTTTATTGTGTTTTAAAAAGATGTGTTTGAGAAAAAAATATATCTCATCATTTTTATTGTTTTTCTAATAAATTATTAGCCCATTATTACTATTAAAATGATGTTTGGTTTAAAAATACGTTTGATGTTTTGTTGTTTTGTGATTTTTCTTGAATAGATTTATGAAAAAGAAATTCAAAAAGATGGTTCTACAAGTTTAGAATGTGTTTTATTGGTCAAAACAAAGATTCAATTGCTTAAGAAATTTCATTTAAAAAATAATGAGTTTTTTTTCTCTTTTTCTTGTAACAAATTTTATGTTTTTTGTTTTTGAAAATGTTATATGGACTAGTGCAGGTTGGCGCTTATTGCAAGTATGTCGCAGGTCTTTACTCAATAATTATTATTTAATTTCATTTGTATTAAACTCAATTATTTACAATTTCAAATTTGAACAATTTCCAATGAAACTTATTTAAATTAAATATTAAAAATTATTATATTTTATATACACAAAGAAAATCATTTCAAACCAAACCCACCTTAAGAAGAATTCAATTACTAACACCAATTTTTAATATTCTTTTTAATTTATTATCAATTACAAACATAAATTATGGGTTTTAAACAGAGGTTTCCAAAATGATTATTGCCGAAAATGTGGTATTATAACGTACGAATATATAAGAGAAAATAAACATTTTGGTTATAAAATGGTGACGTGGGTAATTAGGATTGTGATTTTGGAAACCTCTGGTTTTAAATAATCAAACAGTAATTAATAATTAAAACGTTATTAAACAAAACCAAAACAGCAGTTTAATAAATATATAATAATAAAATATATGAATT